ATAAGTCGAAATTTCGAGTTACTAAGTCGAAATTTCGAGTTAGTATGTTGAAATTTCGAGTAAATAAGTCGAAATTTCGGGTAAGTAAGTCGAAATTTCGAGTCAGTAACTCGAAATTTCGAGATAAGTAAATCGAAATTTCGAGTTAGTAACTCGAAATTTCGAGTTAATAAAAACATACACCTGGCACTAATGCTATTCCGTACGATTGTTTTGATGACTATGTATTTATTCTTTCTACAAAAGTAACGATGGAAGATTGTTCATTAAATTTCTTAGACTGAAGGAATAGTTTTTGGTACTATCTTTCTACTGTGACATTTTTATCTAATGTTATTTTTCCTTTTTGTATAAAAAATGTGTTTTGCTTCCAGTAATATTTTTCAGATGACAAATACATGTATTGCCCCATACTCCGTCACATTGTTGTTATATTTGGTTCTTTGGTATCATTATTAGAAATAATTCTAGCGTCGAGGATTGAGTATCCGTTAAGACGGTGCTGGGGGGGGGGGGGATGTTGCACTTTCCAGTACATTTCATGAGCAGTCTGTAATCTTCTTCTTTTCTCTTTATTGTTGTTGGTTTTTATTTTTCATTGCGAATTCTCCTTTACAAAGCTACAAATTCAAGAAAGTTACTAACATTATAACATACCCAGTTCTTCATTGTGCTTGGCATAGAAAAGCTGATATATTTTACTTATAAAACAACGTTTATCACATTCACGTTGAATATCGCTTAAGCCCGTACTTGGGGGGGGGGGGGTTGAGGGATGTTGCACTTTTTGGCCTAAAAATCAGTATATATTATTTGAAATAATTTGATAAATGTTAATCAATGTAGACGTTAACACTTTGGACCGTCACGTTCTATTTGATTAATATTCGATTTCATAAACGCGCTAAATGCAAATGGTAAACAATTCCACCAGAAAAAAAGCAGATTACGTTGATAGAAATATATGCGAAAAGAGAAAAAAAAGCCTTCGTAAGCAAAAGGATTGAGTCCAGCTGTATTGAATGGGCTACTGCCAGGTACCAATTCACGTGCGCTATCCCACTACTGTCCAACACGGGAACTTTTGCCTGCTGTGTTTCCACCCTGGGCCGGTACGTTCCTCCTTAGACAACCTGGACCACTCCGGCTCCCCCGAGTGTCCCATATTGATGCCGGGCTTAGTGCGGACGCCCGATCGACACTGGCAGACTGACGGTAGAACTCCCACTCTCAAACCGTCCTCAAATCCAGGCCTCCAAGTAGCTAGATTACAGGAGTACGCCAACACTCCCAGCCGATAGCGAACTGTTTATACTGGACTAATAAACCTATATTTCTATTGTTTTTTATATATATATAATTTTTTTTGCTTATTTCTTTTTTTTTTAATTAAATATTGCTCAAGTTTAGAGATATATGGATGAGTAGAAGACATATTATTGTTTCTTTATTCAAAAATGTATGCAAAATGTCATACATATTTGACAGATTTGCACACGTGGATTGTGACGACAGGCTACACGAATGTTTCACATACACGTATGTTAACAATTTATGTGAAAAAAGAGACGGGCACCAGTATAATTTTTGTAACCTGCAATATTTTTCTTTTTTCTTTAATTATTAGTTTGACTACTAAATAAGTTTATATTGAGTGTACTATAACGTGACAAATCGAAATTTACATGTAGTTGCATGTTTTTCCATTACGTTGTCTCCCTTAGAATGTTGACAGATGTGTTCACTTATCAGTCTATGTTATATATTACGAGAGGCCAAATATCATTTGATTGTTTGCTATTCTGCTGTTTACACTGATGTTTAATATATCAAAATGTATCCATTGAAAGAAAAAATACCCCCCCCCCAAAAAAAAAAAAAAAAAAAAAAAAAAAGACAAACAAAGCAAAAACAAAACAAATTAACATTATAAAACAACAACAACAAAAAACAAAATAAAAATCTAAACAACAACATCAACAACAACAAAAACACAGAAAACAACAACGATAATAACAACAACAACAACAACAAACAAAACAAAAACAACTAATCCTACAAACAAACAAAAAATATATACTAAAACAACAATAACAATCACAAAAAACAAAACAGTTTTTTAACGTTATATTATAAATTGATGTAGTGGTATGCACTTGAATTTGAGGATTGTATAGATTGTGTAAATACATTTTGTGTAATCTAATTGACTTTTTAGTTTCGTAACAAAAGGAAAATATTTAGATATGAAGAACTTAACGGTTACGTAAAATCATACCGGAAATTTAGTTCAGCTCATTTGACCTAATCTGACACATTAAAATTTGTGTTAGATCTACTGTGAATCTTTTTTTTTTCTTAATTAAAAGAACATTAATTTATTTTGAACAACGTATTTCAGACCCTGTTGCTCACGATCTTTTTGTTGTATTTTTTAAACCACAAAGCGATGATGTTTCAAACGTTTGAAACGTGCAGAATATTATCTAATATAGATTTAATTGTTCTTGTACACCGAGCATGTATTACATTGTCATTTTTTTCAATAATTAAATGAGCCGCGTCACGACAAAACCAGCATAGTGGGTTTGCATCCGCGCAGTCTGATCAGGAGGATCCATGCTGTTCGCTTACCAACCCTATTACAAGTGGAGAAACTGACAGCGAACAGCATGGATCCTGATCAGACTACGCGGATGCGCAGGCTGGTCTGGATCCATGCTGGTCGCAAACCCACTATGTTGGTTAACGCGGCTCATTTAATTGTGCTTGTACACCGAGCATGTATTATATTGTGATTTTTTTCAATAATAAAATTATCATTTTGGCCAAACAGCTACATAGTGGTATACAACCTTAGTAGTATTTAATAACTTGTTTCTTTGCTAACAAAGCATTTTTATCTAAAATATGCAAGACATTTTTTTTTTAAAGAAAATGAGTTTTTGATAAATAAAATTATGTCAGTGAACGTACGCAAGAGCATTAGTGCCAGGTGTATGAAATTTCGAGTCTCGAAATTTCGACTTACTTATCTCGAAATTTCGACTTACTAACTCGAAATTTCGACTTACTAACTCGAAATTTCGACTTACATTGCAGACTTTCATTGGTTGCCAGTGAAAGCAAGGATTGAATTCAAGATATTTTCTTTCGTGTGTAGCTGTTGCACATTGACAGAGCCCCTGTGTATTTAACAGACTTTCCACATTTCCGTGTTAACCGGATGTTTCTTTTTCTAAAGCACACATACAACCATCATGTGGAGATACAACAAGTCCAAAACCCACCCTATTGTAAACTGTGCAATATTCATTATTGTGTTAAATAAGTTTTAAATGGCGTGGACACGCCAGTTAGTCTGTCTCGTTTCTTTATACTAATAATGTTTTTGTAACATTATTCATTATTTTCTAAGACTTTGATTCATATTGTGTTGATAAAAGTTGATAAAAGTGGATTTTGTTGTTATATACATGTTGGAAATAATATAAAATCATCTGATTTTACAAGAAATATAGTCAGTCAAATAAATTTGACAAAGGTCTGAACAGATGGGATACAATACAACGTCTGAAGAACGCCTGAACGTACAAATTAAAGGAAGCCCCCGGCGTGTACATGCCATTACTAAGTTAAAGTTTAACTTTAATAGTTTGTCTAGGCACGCGTTTCTCCATCTCAGTCGTTCAACCGCACTCCCAACTATATCTTATATTATCTAAACTCTTGGTAACTCATAATTTTGGCCATTCTTGTAATGTTAATAAGTCGAAATTTCGAGTTACTAAGTCGAAATTTCGAGTTACAAAGTCGAAATTTCGAGTTACAAAGTCGAAATTTCGAGTTACAAAGTCGAAATTTCGAGTTACTAAGTCGAAATTTCGAGTTACAAAGTCGAAATTTCGAGTTACTAAGTCGAAATTTCGAGTTAGTATGTCGAAATTTCGAGTTAATAAGTCGAAATTTCGAGATAAGTAAATCGAAATTTCGAGTTAGTAACTCGAAATTTCGAGTTAATAAAAACATACACCTGGCACTAATGCTATTCCGTACGAATGTTTTGATGACTATGTATTTATTCTTTCTACAAAAGTAACGATGGAAGAGTGTTCATTAAATTTCTTAATTATTGTGCAATTATCTCCCTTAGACTGAAGGAATAGTTTTTGGTACTATCTTTATACTGTGACATTTTTATCTAATGTTATTTTTCCTTTTTGTATAAAAATGTGTTTTGCTTCCAGTAATATTTTTCAGATGACAAAAACATGTATTGCCCCATACTCCGTCACATTGTTGTTATATTTGGTTCTTTGGTATCATTATTAGAAATAATTCTAGTGTCGAGGATTGAGTATCCCTTAAGACGGTGCTAGGGGGTGAGGGAGTGAGGGATTTTGCACTTTCCAGTACACTTCATGAGCAGTCTGTAATCTTCTTCTTTTCTTCTATTGTTGTTCGTTTTTTGAGTTGTTTTTCATTTTTCCTTGCGAATTCTCCTTTACAAAGCTACAAATTCAAGAAAGTTGCTAACAGTTCTTTATTGCTTGTCATAGAAAAGCTGATATGTTACTTATAAAACAACGTTATCACATTCACGTTGAATATCGCTAAAGCCCGTGCTTGTGGGGAGGAGGTTGAGGGATGTTGCACTTTCCATTTTCTTTGATGAGCAGTCTGTCGATTTTTTTTTTTTTTTTAATTCGTTTTTTTTTTTTACTTTTTTTTTATTGCGGATTTCCAAAGAAAGTTACTAACATTTTTAACATACTCAGTTCTTATTTGCTTGCAACAGAAACGCTGATATATCACTTAATCTTATAAAACATTATTCATCACATTCACACATCACCTATCCTTCAACTACAAGTCTCTAGCAAACTATCACATGAGAGAAATAGAAAAAAGACACTTTCTTTATACTGATTATGTAATCAGTTTATTTTAAGCCGATTCTTCCATGATTGTCATTCAGGAATGACCATGAAATCAATAAGTTTTCTCGGAATAATTTTATTCACAAAAGAAATATTTGTTAAAAAGAATTTGTAACAAATGTATAATCAGTACATGTATCTATATACAAATTTGAATACAAACGTTTGTAAAAATATATACAGTTCATAAAAGTTAGAATTTACAAAAATAATTACACGCAATAATATCATTTGATTAGTGAAACAATTTAACACTTTAAACACGTTTCCTTAGTAAAAATAGCCTTTTAAAAAGAGTACTCAAGTTTTAAAGTTCTATCTTTCTTTTTATTCTTTATCAGCAGACGATCCGTGATTGCATCGTGGCGCGTGGACATAAAACAGAATAGAATACTTTTACGACACGTTGGAAATATTTTTTTTTCAGCATTTCATGAATGAATTATGAACAATTTTGTCTGCTGCATTTAGTTCGTTACTGCTGGTAGTCCCAGGTCACTGCTTGCGTTTACTTTGAATTCATACTATTAATCTTTTTTTTTATTTTATGGAAAGTCACTACCGTAATATTACTGTTTTTAAATCCGAGGGCAAAAATATAGTTTCAAGTTTTGGACTATCATACTAGTACATCCGGGAAGTCTGGCCAGACTCTTTAATGCTGATAACTAAAGTTTTGTATTTTGATATTTCATTTAGAAATGTACTGTTCCAAATTCGAAACTAGGCAAATGAATTCATCATACAATGTCATCAGGTCAAGGTCTTTCAATTCTATTTGAAATACAATGATCAGGTAAAAGATAGAAGCAAGAATTGCTAATAATAATAGTATGTAACTTGTGTTTAGCTATGTTTTGGTACTTTACATGATGTAAGGTACCAGCGTATATTTTGGGCGCGCACACACGTGATCTGCATAATGAATGCTTTTAACTTGGCATCAATTTTCTTGATAGGAACCAGCAATCCATTGGATCCTTCTTGCCTTTCATTTTCACTTGACCCCGGTATGTAAAGTGGTATTGGGGATCGTAACATGGGCCGGATTTCAAATATCTGAAAGTAAACGAAATGGCATCAGCTGATATTATACGATATCATACTTCATGGTGTAGAATACATTAATTTAGTAGAGTTTCTATAGATTTATATTTGCTCCTTTCCTTGTTCATTAAAAATGCTTAAATTAGTTACAACAAAACTTGCTTATTATAGTAAGTTTAATGTTAAGTAAAAATGATGATTGTCATGACCACGAACAAGATAATGACGATAGCCTAGATAATGATAATGATGGTGATTAAGTGGCAAGGATTACGAGGATGACTGTGGTAAAGGTAATGTATGGTGTGGTAAGTGGGGGAAGAAAATAATGTTGTCGACGATGATTGAAATTAAAACTCACGCATGCGCATATTGCGAGACATTGATTCTTCCGACGACTCCTGTGGTTTCCGTCCGACTGGTTAAGTTGACAGTGTTTCCAAACAGACAATATCGGGGCATTCTTTTACCAATTACACCAGTAACAACTTCACCCGAGTGCATCCCTATAGTAATCTGTAACACATGGTGGAATAATCTAAAAATCAGTTTATAAAATGAGCAGCGTTCTTATCTTTAATAACTTAATTCATATTAGTAGATACTAGATAGGTCAGTTACACAAATGACACAAAACAAAATACCTTGTACAATAAACATGTAATTAATGAATCAATTTTGAGATGAAAGAAAATACAAATTAAGATTATACCATACCCAATTTTCACTGTCTAAAGAAGTAATGGTAATGAACCGTCATAGTAAAAGTCACATGGTTATGGTCTTGTAAATGACAACTAAATAAATAAACTAAATTTGAAAACACAGGACAATAATTTGTTCTAATCATACTTCAATGAGATGGTTATTCGGGTCTCTCAGTTCCTTTGACACATCCATCAGATCTAATGCTAGCCTCGCTATCGATTTTGCGTGAGTTACACTCTCTTCCGGTAGACCGCTTACCGCCATGTATTTGTCTCCGACTGTTTCTACCTGTGACAAATAGAAACAATGTCTAAATTTGTGCAGGGTGCATAAAAAATGCATGGACAATGCATGGATAATGTACATACTGAAATTGTTCATTTATTAAACATATGCATACAACCATGTTATGGTATTGTTCATTGATAATGGTCATATACTTACTAACGAGCAAGATAATGACGACATCGGTGATAATGATAATGATGGTGATAAAGTTGCAATGATAACGAGGATATCAATGTTAAAGGCAATGTATGGTGTGGTAAGAAACGAATTCTTACTAAATGTTTACAACGCTTAACTACGTATTTACAGCAGACTTAAAGAACATCAATTAATTTCATGAATATATGTAATTGAATATGTTCCATTTTTTCTGTTTGGTTTACCTTAAACACATCCGTGTGCTTCTGTAAAATGTCGTCAAACTTTGTGTAGACTGTATTCAACAATTTAACTATCTTGATAGCGCCATGCACGTCCGAATTGCTGGTACTGAATTTGGAGAAGCCGACAATACCACTAAACATGATTGTGACGTTTTCGTACTTCCTGGCCGGGACACTTCTGTTGTGACGGAGCTCATTAGCAACCGATGCTGGCAGAATAGAATACATCAATCTATAACAGAAAAAAGAAGAAATGAGTCGCGTCACCTAATATGTTGGTTTTGACATGATGCGGCTCAAATATTGATTAAAGGCACATTATGTCTAAGGAACAAGTACATTTTTCTTTCTTTGGAAAAGGCAAACATGAGTTTTATAAAGTTTAAGCAATGGTTTTCGAGCATGGTACATGCTTATCGCATGAAGTGAGTAGCACTAAATATGTAACCTTTTGCCATGAAAATCGCAAAATGTAAACAAAGTAGTATTTTGACTTCCATAAAAATTACTAAATCACTATAACTATACTAATAGCCAAAAAAGCTATGGAAGCAAAAGATCATAAAGGTAATTGGGTCACTTTTTGGAAACTATAACAAGACACCAAAAATGAAACTTTTTTTAGAGAAATAAAAAAATGAAAACTAAAGAATCAGATATGGAAAGATAAAACGGAAGTTGGAAATCAATTTACTTTGTTACTTTGTATTGGCCCGAAAAAACAATTGAATGAAAACAGTGATAGATCTAAATGTATATTTATATATATTATGACAATGCGGACTCTCATAGCTGTTATTTTGACACGTTTAAAGTAAATAATATAAAACTGCATTTAATTGTGATAAAACTCGTTATTATTTTCATGCTTTTCAATTATCATCTTATCAATACCCACGTTTTCATTAACTGAAGATAAAGTGGTTTCTACAAAATTTTAACGCTATTTTATATATTCTATCGTCAAAAGAGTAATCTTTTTTAATCAACGACTTATTTTTCAACAGCCAAAATTTAAAAAACGAAATCAACTAGCTAAAAGATATTATCTATACTGATGAAAGTTTTATAGATTGTGTACATATTTTCTTTTCGGATATTCTTGGAATGTCTTATTCAAACTCCATATCAGATAAGTTAATTTTCCGTGAAAAATGGCACGCGAGCTGTTGAAATACCGGGTAAATAATTCGTATTCGTTTCTTTTCCTTTGGGTAGTGTGTTTTCATTTTTTTAATCAAATTTTGAATACTTGTTTTGAATGAAAATTACAATAATGATACAATGTATATATAACAATAAAATAATTCTTACAATAATAGATATTAACTGTATTCGTACTTTCTACTGTTAAGTTAAGCAAATTCTAGTCACCGAATTATTTTGTGGTTTGCACGTAGGAGACGTGTCGTTCAAAATGTTCATTGACTGATATTCAAGACAATGATTCACATTAAGTTAAATAAGTTCTCTCTTTTTTCTTAGTTTATTTAGGACATACTTATCTGTCTTCTGCTTCACATGACGTTGAATAATTTCTTTTTTTATCTATTTAAAGACATACGTATATAGGACATACTTATATAGGACATACGTATATAGGACATACTATAGGGGATACTTACTTATCTGTCTTCTGCTTCTCCGCCTCGAGTTCACGATGCATCGTCTGCAACTTGTCTGTGAGAAACTCCAGCTTCTGTGTCAGACGATACTCCTCATCAAACTTCTCTGATAGCAGCACCTGATCACGATAATATAAACAGTTTAACACGAGAGAAATGGATCTCTAACACCGCCTTAAAAAGCGCTTGTTATGTCATTTTACCAAAGAAAGCACCACCTGAGAATCTCAGTTAAAACTGACGGATTAACTGATTTCCTGTTTGCCATTTGCGTCAAGTAATCAAGGATGTGTTCCGCAAAACTTGACCATATCTAATTACCATCTATGCATATTTCTTTATCAACTGTTTCAAAATACTGTAGAACATATTGTTTAAAACGTAATTCAGGTTTAAACTTTGAAACAATGCTTAAATGAAGTTAGCAAAATAGATCTATAAAATAGTTAACGCACTGAGATTTACCAGGATAATTCTTCAGATTTTTTTTCTAGAAGACCAAATTCTGAAACGAACATAAACATATCATCTAGAACCCTTCTTGCAGACTGAGAATAGATAAGATATAATTATGTACGTTAATTGTACCCAAAAGGTTTTTTTTAAAGAAAATGGCTTTGAAAAGAATTATTGCTTTCCCCAAAAGTCAGCTGCCATAAAGAGTATAGAGGATCTGATTTCGTGGCAGGTGGTATCGTAGCCGAAGTGAAGTAAATGATGTTAATTTGACATTTTGCAAGAAGGTATCAGAGCTAAAGTACATTTTTTGAATTATCATATCATATCATATATACATCATATATACATCATTACATCATGTTGGAAGTCGCTGTTGGTACGGGAAGTGAGTTAGGATTGAAATGGAGGTCAGTTTGAAACCTTGATAAATTTTGTCGTAATGATTATGGCAAATAACTTACCAAGTCTCGTGTGGAGTCATGAAGGGGTATGTCGCTCAGGAATAGACCACGCCTACTAAGGTCATCAAGACTGGTTACACTCGGGGAGCACATAAACAATAACATGTCAGACTCCGGAACAAACACCATTTGACCTTTCAAGCGCATGCGCGAGGAATCTTGATGGTCAAGTTTATTCGCATTGTCGTCTGCTTTACATATTTCTTCTTTGGTACGAAGCACGTAAACAGTGTTAATATGTGACAAAATGTGATTAAAATCAAATGCCATATGGGGACGAATCATTTCAAATACGTCATCGATCTTACAGTTCCCTCTTGATACTCTAGGAACAACCCTGGCCAATGAAAATCCAGTTTGTTTGATGATCATGTTTTTGTCGAACAAAATATGAAACGGAAATGCTCTGCAAAAAGTTGCTGGACTGATTTTCGGTTTCAGATTTTTGTTATGTACATATGTATTGTCATTGTTATCATCAACTACCTTTTTTGCTCCTTTTTCTATAATAACAAATTGGACGTGATCACATTCTTCTTTAGTTTTCCAGATTTTAACGTCGACTTCAGAATTATGTAAATTTTTGGCGACTGTTTTAACAATTCCGACTACAATTGATTCAAGGCCGGGACGATCTGAATAGTAATGCAAAATTAAAGCGCCATTTTCATTGGAACACCGGAAGGAGGGCGCTTGCATGCCGGGATAGATTGTTGCAAGATGATCATGAAGAGCGTCCAAGTTCTGGAGAAACTCCTTTGTATTAGCTCCTAATACCTTCAAGATTTTTGTGTAGCCGGATTCTTTGCAGAAATCAAAGAACATTTTACCGAATTCTTCCAAAAGAAACGCTGCCGGCAATCCTGAAAATAGACAATAAACAATAAAACCAGACAGCCTTAAAATCTGGATTTGCATATGACATAAATACTCACATTTAAAAAATCTTGTTTTGACAGTCTTTTGTCAAATATGAATAAAGGTACCTTATGAACGATTAATTGCGGTTTAAACACGACTATTTCTGAAAAATAAAATGTCATAGTCGTATACAGTTCCGTAGTTTCTTAAAATTTTCAATTACTAACCGAGCACTTTTGACGCTGCCCCAACAACATTATACGTTGCCGCATCATCATAAATGTTCCGAATAATAAACTTTCCTTCTATGACCAAGTTAGCCTCCTTCCTGAAAATATATATCCATTTATAAATGGTAGAACTTCCCAAATTAATTTTAAAAATATGTCGCGTGAAACAACAGCGTATGTTCATATCATACCGGAAATGTATAAACATAAACATTGTTAGCAAAGTAAAATAAGGAGAACAACTTCTTGTTTCACGTAATTTGAAAAGAAACCACTATGAATTGTATTAAAAATAGTAACAGTCAATTACATTGGCAAATGCCACACGAAATAAACCGTTTTGGTAAATGGAAACCATATTTAATACATGCAGCAATGACCAGTAAACCAAATAGGTAAAAAGAAACCATTATATATTGCGTGGACTATAAATGGCAGGGACCGAAAGAAATCACAATAAATAGCATGAACGAAGTTTACACGGACCAAAATGAATTACAATAAGTAGAATTGACCCAATGAATATAGAATATCCTACATTGCATGTACCAAAAGAAGTCAAACTATAAGACATGGGCAAAAAAGTCACAATATATTGAATGACCATTAGATGGACTAGAATTCATAGTTGATAAATGTTTATTAATTAAATTTGGATGTTTGAAAGATATACAGAATATTGTCACTATTTGGCAGATAATTATATACTTATGACAGGAAGGTGCAGTCTAGTTGATTTGCCAATACATATGTACACATGCCGTTTAGCACAGATACCAGAAACTGTTGGATTCAAGTGGCTATCGACAAAGTGGCTATCGACACACCACTTCAAACAGAGATAGGAAAGGGTCAACCATTACCGTTCAGTAAACAACTACCCGATAACCAGATTAATAGTAACATGTGGTTATCTAGAGCTCTTTTAAGGAAGTCATTGGTCAGTGGTTTCATTTACGAAAATTTAAGATCTCATTTGCTCATTACCATTCTCATGATTGCTTATCTGAGAGCATATAATTACCTTGATGATAATAAGGTTAAGGAGTTAAATTTCTGGTTGTCCACTTAAGTATCGAGTAAATTATGTAGTTATCGCGTTAAGTAATATACTAAATTTTAATTAAGATAAACATCTTAAAAAGACAAAATCCATAGTAGCGCCAGTAACATTTCAATATGTAAGTGTTGAGTGATCAACTAGTGACCTATTGAAAGCGTAAACCACATATTTAAAAGATAATTATAATATTTACGCATCAATTAACTGGTTGACCTTTTAAAGTAATAAAAAAGTAGTAAGTGGTTAACGCGTCCAGTAACTAGTTAACCTCACAATTATTGAATTGTTACTTAAAGCGTTAACCACTTCCCAGCAAACAAAAGACGTTGTACCAACGTTGTACTGACGTTAGACCCTGACGTTGGGTAAACGTTGGCAGAAGGTTGGATTTGAAAGTTTTTTAGACGTCAGAAACCGACGTCTATACAACGTCATAAAATGACCTTTATCCAACCTTTTCTGATCATAATCCAACCGTTTCTGACCATTATCTGACCATAATCCAACCTTTTCTGACCATTATTTGGACATAATCAAACCTTTTTCTGACCATAATCCAACCTTTTCTGACCATTATCTGACCATATGCCAACCTTATCTGACCAAATTTTCTAACCATGATTTAACCTCATTCAAAACTTTTGGAATATGATTTTTTTTTCATTTTAATTAAAGCTCTTTAATAGGGTTAAAAATAAGCATTCTTATGATTTTAGCAATTTATTTTATACTCGGAATCACAAGTACAAAACAAGAAATGTGGTACTATATAACAAATGCAAGATTTACATAATATTTTTTGAAACTATTTAACTTGACGGTATGTACTTTAATAACGCTTCATGTATTAATTAAGCATGTTAAACAAAATCCTTCTTGAATATTTACACTGACATTTTATATAGCAAACATCCATGTATGTGTTTTTTCTTATATCACCACTGAACTGATCACTGAGTTTGGGATTTTTCAATCATCTATCCAACTCACTAAATGTATATTTGTCTTTGTATTTTATAACTGAATCTAGATCTGAATGTTAAATGGAACAATATTCTGAATATTTTGTTATAACTATAAATAGCAATGTTCATGTATCTTCAGTAGTATTCTAGCTTCTTTCGTCCTCCTCCACTATGTCGATCTGGGGCATACTTTAAGCGTATCATTACCGTCTCCAACCTGAGATCTCATCACACTTTCTGAAATTATAAAAAAAAAAAATAATCAGTTACAAGTGCAAGAAATAAATCACTTTTACATATTATAATTAAACGAAATTCTAACAAAACTCTCCAACTACTTAAAAAGATACATGCACTTATTATTTTTAATTTAGTTTAAACCATGTAGTTTCGTGTAACTACTGTATATATCTATTAATTTTGATAAAAATGGCTTCGTGAAGAATTTCATTATAAAATCAAGGGTAATAAGATCACTGATTTTTCTATAATATTTTGAAATATACCTGTCACAAAATCTTGGTAGGTTTTCATTTTTCTTTTCCTCTAAATATTTTCATCTTCCTCATGAACTTTTGACACATGTTGAATTATCATGCATACTTTTCACAATCTGAAAGACGAAATATAATCGTTTTAGAATTTAACCATGTGGTGAAAGGATGTTTGTCTAATACAATAGGCAAAATCAAATTACTATTAATCTTAGTAAACTCATAAGCTCATGAAAAACTGATATATAGAGAATACCATGCTAGTGTCTGATATTATAAAATTTATCAGGCAAGGCTAAGAAAAAAAAGAAGGGCGAGGCTCTGCCGAGCTCTTCATTTTTTTTCGTGCCGAGCCTGATAAATTTTATAATATGAGACACTTGTTTGGTATTCTATTTATCATGTTTTCAATTTCAATTGTTGTTTGATTTTTTTTATTTTAATTGAAGCAAAACCGTATCCAGAACCTCTCGTGTTCAGACGGCGCGCAATAATATGTGAAATGTCAAATAAAAAAGAAATAGTCCCGAATGTTTTAGTTAATTGTAAGTGACTCGTTCATATTCAAAATTTCTATTCGATTCAAAGTTTATCAGTTAAATATTTCCAACCCAGTAGCAGGAAAATATATTCCATTCTTTTTATTTCATTTTGCAAATTTTGCATATTTTTGATGAGGTGTCTGATAAAGCTTGGGGTGACTGATAAAGCTAGGTTTATCAGGCATGCACTTTATCAACAGAAATCAATGTAATGACATGATAAAACAAATACCAAATTAATTCTATTCCCGCAAAAATTGATATTGTTATTTTTTATATTCTATTATTCAAAGTACTTTGTACGAATGCTCATACAACATCAAAGAAATTCACATGTTACTGTCATTTCTATAGATATCATCTCTGCCCAGCATGATCTGGTCTGCTAAGTGTATATAGGACAGACTGGCTTAGTGTAAAAACGTTTTATGATACGAGCATACAACTTGTTGATAAGCAGGCTAATTAACAAACTATTACTTTTATTGATTTATAACTATGATAATGTGTTTTCTGATTGATAATATGTTGTTTGATTACATTAATAAAAAGATAGCTAGTCAAATACAATGTGCTTTCAGATATATCTTACAAAAGTCGTATCATTTACACGTATCAAATGCCATGAATCATTACCATAATATAAGAAACACATGGTATGCTTACAGTATGGGTAAAGTACTACAATTAACAACGAGTAGTTTAACAACTACACAGATATCAAAATCAAACTGCATCTGATACATGTGTAAATGACTGGCCCCTCATATAAGTGAAATTCATGTTGATAAGAAATAAGAGGAAATTTTATTTACCAGCATTTGAATAATAAGAGTCTTACGTACTGAATTTAACTTTTTATTGATTTCAATTGCTAGGATATTTCCTACCATTGATTGTGCATTTATTTGGCATGGCGATATAGTGTGGGAAAAATGATCCGATTATACAGACTGTTCTATAGCAAATGATAAAGTGTTCTTACGTGGAAACAAAAATATTAATCTCGCGAAATCACGTGACATTTAGTTTTACCAGTCAAACATTTCAATGATCAAATAACCATCGAATCCATGCAAACATGCGGTAAATTAGCATTGAAAAACAATATATAATGTTTGCCTACCTTTTTCTTTTGTTTGGAATACACAACTTTGTCTGTCAACCCGTCGTTTTTTGTCCGCCAATACAATTGAATTTCAAATCCGATAAGTCGCAAATTCGAATTTACTAAATAATTAACCACTATAAAATGAAGCCCTCAAAAATGATAACAACTTCATTGTAAATTATATAAACACTTCTTAGACTAATTCGAGGAGATAAGATATTATTTAAACGAAAATAGAGCAAATATATTTCATACTGATCTGCGACTATCCGTTTACAGAGCGCCACCTATCGAATATCGTACGTTAGCCACCATGTGATACTGTTGTTTTGATGGAGAAAATAAATATATAATGTTCCCTTTCTAAACTTAAACTTAAAATTCTAGCTGTTTATGCTTTCATTTATATATATATTGGTTTCATAAATTAAATTTACCTATTGTCAGATTACCGACCAAAACCCGACGTCGAGTCGACGTCTAAATGCAACGTCTGTTAGACGTCGGGGATTCAACGTCGATTTGACGTTGTATGAAGGTCACCGACGTCGCGACCAAAATTCAACGTTGATCCAACGTTGGGTCAACGTCGGGTGTTTGCTGGGTTACAACCAATCTATTTTTAGACAAGCGATAATGAATTACATAATTTACGAGATCATTAAGTGGTTAACTGGAAGCATATTCTACATGATTTTATATCCCATTGTAAAACATGTATAACAGCATTATCACCTTGATAAAATTAAAGTCAGGAGATAAAATTGAAATGTTTTAACAAAATAAAATTAAAATAAAAAACAAACAAACATAAAAAAGGAAAAAAAAACACTTAATGTAAATAGTTCATAGTTTTACGTATACAATGTAATATAAAATTGAAATTGTTTTACTTGCAACAATTTTTTTTAAAGTTTTACAAATTAGCAGAGCAGGGTTACAGAGGTAATTTTGGTATATATTGCAACATAAATATTTATCATTTAGCTGTTTTATCCTAGTCAGTTACTTTGTTCTGGTGGAGAATGGAAACATAACATAAGTACAGATAAGGGACAGGAAGAGGCCACGTGTTTATGAAATCTTTTTTAAGCCATCTTTGAAAACAGGAAGATATATATAATAATATAAATTCACGGTGAACAAAAAGTCTCATAAACTTTCATATGTTGTAAACAAAATATCTTATCCTAAGGGTACTTGTCTATGATCATAACGTTTTTGTCATAATTTATGTTTTAACTTGTTTACAGAAAAAGATAAACAACGCTTAATGACTTATTTTACAGACCCTAAACATAATTTTATAGCATAAATAATTACGCTTTTATGCCCCCTTTATCCATGTCAAACCAGTCCCTACTTAAATTATCTATTATCTTTATCTTAGAGATTTTCTGTCTTTATCTTTTTGCCCTTTTAGTTTACGAGGTAAACTTTGATAGATATTAAAATTTGACAATAATAAACGTAATAAAGGCACATTATGCATCAGAAACATTTTTGTCCTTAACATGAATTTTATAGTGTTTAAATAATGGTTTTAGGGTCTTAAGGTGCTTGTTTCCTGAAAACAGAAGCGAATAATATGAAAAAGTTTGCCTTATAAGTAGCAAAATGTAAATAAAGTAGTATTTTGACTTCCATACAAATTACTAAATCACTTTAACTGTACTTGGCCAATATGCAACAGAAGGAAAAGATGGTTAAGATAATTGGCCAATGAGTAACTTTTAGGATGCTATAAAAGTACAACAAAATTAAAAAAAACTTTTAGGAAATAAAAATAAAAGCATTTTTTAGGCAAAAATGGGCCTTTAAGGTCTTTAAATCGGCAAAAAAACTCACTTGACTTCTTCCCATTTGTCTTTACCAAATCGTCTGATGACAAGAAGCTCGAGAGCATGGTTGACAAACCCGTACTGAAAATATATCATCGATTTATGTTATCTCATCAATTGATAACTACGTACAGCAATTATTTTATATATTGTTACATTTTTAAAATCTAAAAGTGATACTTTTTATACAAAAGTTCCTTGGATGTTATGGTTGTTAACTTACTGTCATGTTTCTACGTATGCTCAAATAAAGCAGACATGTTCATTAATGTTATGTAAAGATCCGTGAAGAAACGAATTGCTAAATACTTTTGAGAATTTTTATATTTCTACTGCGTGTTTTTTGTTTCAACTGTGACGACTGTTCAGTGTTTTCATTTCGTTTCACTTAATATGGTGTACTGGCTTAGAGATCAAATATTTCATCGGGTTTGTTTGATCTTTTTGTCAACAATTAATATCAAAATTATCCGGAATATGGAAAGCTGTGGTTTACACACTGGATGTAGTTTAAACATAATTATCATAGAGTTCTCTACTTGGAACAAGACAGTACTGGTGTCATGCAAGGAAATATGTTCATTATTCATATGACACAAACCTACAGTAACGTGGGTAGGCTTTGTTTATAACTATTGATAACTTACAACTCTCTTCAAATTAGAGTTACTTCCCTTTAACTATAACAGCGCGCAGCAGACACAGAATTTCATAAATCCTTTCTAAATGAGATGCTTTGTGGTTATTACACAGAATTGGTGTAATCTATCAAACTTTGATCTGTGTTAGACGAACAGAGAAGATAGCAAAGTTAATAATCATTACTAGTATCATAAAACCAACATAAAAGAAATAAAATCGGGCAATAAAATATTAAAATGTAATAGCTTTGCAAAAATAAAAGACATTATTATCTTCATTACATAAATTTCTTACCGAAATTCTGATGAATTACATTTTACAAGTTTCAAAATAAAGTTTCTACCCACAGGGTTTCCTTATCATAATAAATGTAATATTAAATTTATCAAAAAGGATTCATATAAAAACATCATAAAAAAGGATAAACGTCGTGGAAAAATGATCAGTTCCCCCTAAAACTTCCATTAATTTAATATCATGCTCATAACATCAATGTGAGGTTATCATTTTATTGCCATTTCTTATCCATTTCAAACTCTCAGAATTAAAAAAACAAAACAAACTTTTCTGGGCTAGCTTAACCATTAGACATCAGACGGCGGGGGGGGGGGGTGAACTTGAAAATAAGTGTTTAGACCTCCAATCGTAATAGTTATTTTTATTTTCAATATACGGGACAATAGTATGTATGCATGTATTAAAACTATTATTGATATTCATATTCTTAAATAAACGTTAGGTAACGTCCACTGTGATATATTAACGTTTTAAATTACGTTAGAAATGTTAAGATTCGCAGCTGTTTCTTAAGAAGGAGGAAGAAAATAGAAAATCCTTTGAGAAATGGTCAGGCAAAAGTGACCGCTGGCTTCCTATTTGATAATTTAGTTTCCTAACATGGGGTGAGTTATGATAGTTCCCATTGAGGGATTAGAAAAAAACAGAAACGACGGAATTCAAAGTCAACAATGGAGGCATCAAAAACAAAGAATATTTACGCGCAATGTTGAAAGATATAAATGATAATGTTAGATAAACCCTACTCTATAATCAACATCAAGATCATTTTTTAAGTTGAGCCCTGAATACCATTTTCCCCGCAAAATAAACGTTAACTCTGTTATGCGATTTTGAGCCAAGTGTAGGCGGTACAAAAACTAAAAGACCGACCGGTTAGCTCTGTTCACGGACCTATTTTTCTGCAAGTTCGAATCCCACGGCAGCCATTTCTTATTTGGACGATTTGCGGTTGTCGTGTGGTCACGGTTCGATTTACGGCACGGATAGTAAACCTTCTGTAACGTCACTGTAAAATCCTTATTCGTCATCTCGTGCCGATACAGGAAGTTGGCAACTATGATCAAACGATTAAGAATAAACTCCATCGTGACCTACAAATCGAGTTTCCCTTTTCTTTCTTATTAAAAAAAAGATCAAAAAAAGGTTAACGGACAAGTTTTGATTTAAAGCTCATTAATAAGAAGCGCGCAGCAAACTTTAATCTCTTAGCTCGACTTTTAACACGGTTATGAGAATGCGCTCAATGTTTAGACTAAGGTGATAAATGTCTTTGGAGAAATCTAAAAATATACTTTGTTTCTGATAAGATACATAATAAATGCCAAGACCCCGAGTTAACGGGATAATGAATGTTCTCAAGTACAAACAAAGATAACATGAAATAGAACATTCAATGGTTATTTCAAAGATAAAAGAAACGATCAAAATATACACGGAAAAGCTGGAGTGATGCTTTTTATTTAATACAAATGTAAACGGAATGAAAACACTTTTAAGATGGATTTTATATTTATAGGAATGAAATGTGAGTCACTGTTTGTATATCCCGAAAATATATCCTAGATATAGCATTTCCGTTTTTTCCTTTCCTTTCGGATTTTAGTACCATTGATGTCAAACCATTAACCGAAATGAAAGAATCATTTTATGACATTTGTGAAAATGCACATCTAAAATTATGTTATAAAACAAGCCTTACCATTTTTAAGAGTCCACAAAAGATTGTCAAGCGTCTGCGCTACTTTCTGAAACAGAGAATGATCGCATGTTAAACATAGATAATATTATGAGTTTGCTACAATAATTGACAATAATCTTTCTTTTATGTTACAAAAGATATCCCACGTTCACAACATCTAGACATTTTATGGTACAGCAATACAAGAAGACCGTATTTCTATCAGGTTATACCTCCCCGAAGACATGTTTACTGCATTTTTGTTACCTTCCATTGCAGGGAAGAATATATATTGCTCTTTTCTGCTGTTTATGCAACAGCCCATGGTAAATGGGTGCCCAGTTTGGAATTGTAATTGTATTACATGGGAACTACAGCAATACTTTCAGTGGCTTATCAGATTACGATGTTTGAACGACAGGAGTTAAAAACGCCATAAATATATACGACAGTATGACAATCGAACCTGTCTTTAACGACCAGCGCTGGGACAAGAAAAACGCGTTCTTTTTAAAAATATTTTCTAATAATAATAATAATAGTATTAGAATTAAAAATAATAATCATAAAATAATGAAATAATAAAAATAGTCATCATCATCATCATCATCATCATCATCATCATCATCATCATCATCATCATCATCATCATCATCATCATCATCATCATCATCATCATTATTATTATTATCATCATCACTATCATCACCACCACCATCATCATCATCATCACCACCACCACCACCACCATCATCATCCTCACCACCACCACCATCATCATCATCACCATCATCATCATCACCATCATCATCATCAGCAGCAGCAGCAATAAACGGCAACAACAATACCTTTATTTACGTTATTGTTTTGGTTCTTTATTGAAAGGTTTTGACTGTCCGTTCGAATTGCACTTCTATTCTTTTTCGACAACAAACAATACGCAATTGAAAATAATTTTTAAAAAATCATTGTCGGCTAAAACAAAATTATACTTTTGTACATTTATCATAATATAATATCAACTTTTCACGAAAGAGTGAAAAATGATGAGTTGTTAAAATGAAAGTCTGACAAAAATATGGTTAATTCAAAGACGCATGCTATTTCGTATTTCAAGACAGTCTATATTATAAATGCGTAATGCACAAAATGTATACATTGATTTTCCAGACGATCAATGTAATCATGTCAAATTAATTCTAATTCGAAGACAGCGGTTCAACTAACCGACCTTTATTTGTCGTCTGCTTCCCTTAGATTATTGCTCGCTTATTGGCAATCTGCTTTTCACTTATTGGCACGAACTGCGGCATTTAAAACGCGTTCCGATTACCACATGGTCTATAAATCCACAACCTAGCGAGAAATGTAAATATTGAATCTATCATAGGCCGGAAGTAAAGCTGCCGAATTATAAACATTGCTCCAATTCCATCCGGATGGAAATCGCTATATAAACATCATCGATTGTCTATATTATTCAGAATCTCCTAGAAACAATGATTTTATACGATACGAAAAATATGCAACGTTGGAGCATAGCTAGGAAAGTTCTGTTCAACACTTGTAAACCATATAGCAAAACTAAAGTAGTTAAAATCCTGATATTTCGTTATAAGGAATAGTTTTAGCGTCATCAACAGAGCAAATTTAATAACTAATTAAATAACTAAACTGATATTAAAATGTAACGATAATGTTTGTAGTTTCACCCGTTATAATCTTTTTTCATAACATACATTCTTAAGTTTGTCAACACAGAAAAATAGTATATGATTTTGTATTACAATGTACATGTGTATTAGTTTTACTGTACATTAATAATATAATATCGTATTGTTAATTATAATTAAGTATGATAATAAAGTATCGGTTACTTACTCGTTTGTCGTTACAATGTTTTGTCTAGCTGGTTACATCTCTTGGGGACAAACTTCACACTGTGTTATTGCATATAGTCACGAAAACATACAAGTCCATTTATATCAGATAACAATGCTTTGACCACATACATATAAAAGTTAATTAGAAACCACACCAAACATCGGCTGTATATCCCTTTGCATAAAATGATTGAATGTCGCTAAAATATCGCTTGTATACTCTGTAAATCTACTCCACTCTCATAAAATCCTATCTCAGTGAGGTTTATTGGTTAACTTTCAAATTCATAGCTATCGTAAATCCTTCTTTCAATTTCAAAGATAGTACAGTCCTCAACGTATCGATCTATAATTTCAGTTTAAATCAAAAGTTGTCTCCGCTTGTCCACTTTTACAATAACCACGCAGTAACTACACTGTAACGGTAATTCACGAGTATAGGTAAACGATGAGAGTTTGTTACTGTAGTGCCGCGTGAATTGGAGTGATGCTGAGCAGGACATAAAATGGATTTGTGAGTCGACTATGTTAATTAAATGTTTAGAGAAAAATATTAAGAGAATTGTTTGAACATGTGCTTTCATTTAGTTGGTTTAAGGAATGTTTGTTATTGGTTTAAATGCGACGTAAACATTACCTAAGTTCCTTGAAATCTGTTTATAACGATTTGCATAATTAAGAAAATAAACAATACACGGCGAGTGGTAATCTTACTATTCCATAATTAAAATAATCAAAGCACAGAAGGCGCTGAATTTGTTTGGGTCTTAGAATGTCAGAAAGGTGAAGGTTGTGAGATTATAAAACAATTTGTTTTTGTATAGTGCCACCAATGCTTTCCAGCGTTTTAATTGTAGTAGATTGGCTATAAGACTAATTGCAACACTGATATTCGATCAAATGTTTATTTGACTTAAACAATTTGAAAAAAAAGAGTAGCAGTAATTGGGATTTGAACTCCGGTCCTCTCGCTTCCTAAGCGAGCGCGCAAACCCTTCGGCCACGGTGAATTTATATGTTAATAGTTTGAAGAAAACCATATTATTCTATTTAGGGTTTGTAACGACGCTAACTGTTGTTTAACACTTGTGTAAATAATCATGGCGCTTACTATAAGCATGTATATTTATAAAGAATAAAACAATATTAGAAATCTTCGACCATTCGGGAATTATTTTGCTTGAAAATTAATCCGCCTGTCATGTGACTATATTTACGCAGTGATCTCCCCTAAATTTTTCGGCATAAGTGTTACATATAAAGGAAAGTAACCGCTTAAAAAAGCGGACTACTTTCGGCACCTGCAATTAACAGCATTAGAGTCTGAAATTTTAGCTACCATTATTTGTTTGGTCTGACGACCCAAACAAATAAAAACGGAAAAGGAAACAGAATAATACACTATGCTACATAAATAAATCGTTATATTTATATTCATTCTAAAATTCTTCCGTTCATTTTAAAATAACCAGCCAAAATGACACGTCCAAGACTTGATATTTTAACATTTAAATAGATATATAATCGAAAATGCCAAGACAAGACAAATAAACATTATTTATTCAATTATAAATTTAAATAAAACTAAATTTGATAAAATGTGCAAATGAAACTATCAATGCATGAAACATTATTTCTTCACTTATAATGGTCTGAGTGGTAAACATTCACCAGTTAGGTTTAATTTATGTAAAAAAATTACGTAAAAAACTTTGAAAAACACAAAACGCACTTTCAATTCAACATCATGTGCATGTACGAGTATATAGTAATTTTCACTACTGCATCACCATAGTCGACCTGGTCAAATCTAGTTTAAATTATATAGAATAATAATAAAGATAATAATAATAATAATAATAATAATAATAATAATAATAATAATAATAATAATAATAATAATAATAATAAAATCTTTATTTTGAGAAGGTAACATATAAAGTTAACACAATTAGAAAACATGTATACAGGCCTTCTGATTCATTTTTGTTTTTGTAAAACAATGTTGATTTTAACAGGAAAGACGAACCAAAAGTGTAACAATATATACGTATAATATACTCAAATAGATAAGTAATTACAATAAGATATTTTCATGTTATAATGTATTCTCTATGTTTACATTGGCATGACTTGACAGGTTCGGGAAGTTGTATCAAAACCTGCACTTTATTAAGAAAACAAAATGCTGATTACAAATTGTATGATATTCTGCAATAACATGTCTGCAATTTGTTGTAAAAAATTGGTCAATTATTCATTCTTAGTACACTTTTGCAAAACTAAGCATAGAAAATATACAAAACTGTTTTATTTAAACTACTTACAAAGGAACAAAAAGAACTTTGAGTTTTTAGTAATACTTCACTTATAGTAGTATTTGTACTTCTATTTTAGCATTTTACTACATGGGGATACAAAAACAATTAAACATAATTAAAACCGTAAACATATAAAACTTAATCCATAGTAATAATGTTATAAGTTAATTGAACTACGAGATTGCAGATTAAAATGTCTAATCTTTTAAAGCTTAATGAACTAGAAGATAAAACAAAGTGGAATCACTGATAAATTAAGTTATGAAAAAATAGTTAAAACACTTTGTTTCAAATCTTTCCAAACATTTCCTGAAATATTCATTATATAATGTCACCCGAACGGCATAAATTTACAAAGTACTTAATTGCATTTTTCCCAAATGTACATCAATTATTGTCTTCTTAATTGATGAAATTACTAAAATTGCCTCGATATTTCGTATGAAATAAATTTTCATTACGTTAATGTGTTTCTCCTCTCATAGGATTTTTTAAAAATTTTCTTTTGTATAAAGCACTTTTGTAAGCACGATTTCAAATTTAAGTACAAACTGTATATTCATTTATAAACAGTATTTCCTTATAAGCCCACTTCCAATTTTGAGATCATAACATTAACTTAGTTGCAACCAGCTGATGGATGAAAAATAAAAGTTGCAGAATTGCGGCTTTTTTACATGCGGTTTTTTGCCTTTTGAAACTTGAATTTTTGGATGGAATATCATTTTAATTTTTATCATTTTGATGTTGGATTGTAACAATCTCAACAGTGCATCATTACATTACATATAACATAATATATGTATACATTTTTTGAATAATTGATGAAAAAAATGCTGACACGTGCACATCGTTATAAATTATTCATATTCCATAAAAATGAAAACCTTCCTATATCTAAAACCATTCCCATTTTATTAGAGAATAGAGATGTTTATACTGCTTTCAAGGCACACTTTTACAATCTCTTCGAAATACTATTTCGGAATTTTTAATAATGATATTTCGGCTTTTTAATAACAGTCATAATATGCAATGGTAAGAAACAGACTTTCTATATTGCATGTTATAAGACTGAAAAAGCACCAACAAATAGTCTGTCACTACCATCTAAAGCCATTTAAAGAGCAGCAAAGGTGTTTCAAATAACCATTGCAATCGCCATGATAAAGATAATTGGTTCTATTGTATCGATTGTTTTAATTATTTTTAATTTGTTTATTTGAATATGCACACCAACTACTAGTATGATTTAGTGACTGAGTAAAATTTGATTGCGAATATAAAATTATCATAAAAAGGTAACATAATGTGAAATGACTCGTGTGTTCAGAAATCATGCACAATAGTCATATCTGTCGCAGCTAAAGTAACCGTAATGTTCACAAATTTAATTGTTTACTATCTCTAATGGGCTTTCATAAAGTTTATATTCTCTTATGAAAAGTTGAATGTTCGGAAATTATATAGGCATAATTATTCATACATTGGTCTTGAATTGAAGTCCATTCCAATGATTTTAATTATATGAAGTTTGACATTTAAGTCTATTTTATATTTTACATATGCTGTTTGATCAACTAACGACTGACAACATTTAGATCTAGATAATTACTATACCAAATTGATTATTATTGTTCTTATGTTTATATTATGATATTAGAACAATTAATCAATTGACATAACCAATATGTTCTCAGTGACATTTTGTTTATGTTTTGTTGGAATTGGTAATTTACCAGAAGCTAAAGTTCCTATTTAACCAAGAGCTCTCATTACATTGTGTTAGTTACCTGTCTCTATAGAACTTTTCCTTTGTATAACGGACTTTGTTGAATATAAGAATTTTCGTCTGCTGTTACATCTTTCACGTAGCAAGTCGTGTCTGTCAACTTTTAAACAAAATTGTTTCGTGTAATTAGTTAAAGCACCAAAAATAATCTTACAAACTGGGCTTGTATTGACACTATTTCTTACTCCTCTGTTTCAATTTTCATCTCTTCATCAAAGATGTTTTGTTTTATATATATTCTTTGAAAAAAAAAGAAAGTTTGTAATATTTAAACATGCTTACATAAGATATGATGAATGAAAATAATGTTTTACAAAAACTTGATAGAAAGTAAGTAACAATTCATTATAACAAACTTACAACTACATTATCATTTGAAATGAAATCGCTTTTTTATTTGTAAGTCTTAAAAAAGAAAGTTGTTTATACCAAGGTGACTTTGTTAATATGTGCGTTAAAAAACAACTTTCATTCAATTAGTGCGCTATAGAACCATTGTATTCTTGTTCCAACATTTTCATTGCCCCTGAGGGATCCCCTCTTTCTCACAACCACAGATGTTAACTTTTTTGTTGCAGCTGCCTAATTCTTCACATCGGTGTTGTTATCTTTTTCTGTTTCTGGATCGATGATTCCAATAAGTGTTGGAGATTGCTTAAGACGGTGCTAGGGAGTCTGAGAGATGAACATTGTACCTGTCATTTTCTCTTAGGAACAGACTCACAAACACAGTCTACTCTTTTACCCAATATTTACTTTTGTATTTAGTGATCACGAGGTATTTCCCTTTTCCAAATTCGATATAATTGCTCAATTTACTAAAATATTTCTGTCATTTCAAATGTAAAATTAAATACATTTATACCAGTGAATCAAGAAGAAAACTGCCTGAGGCATAGTAATAACAAGTGTTCAAATGAAATATATATGCACATTTGTTTTATAAATGAAAATAATCATGTTAGGAAACCATTGTATCTCAAAGCCATGCATACTCTTTTAGGGATTTAGAATTATCATTTCCGATGCCATATCCATATATACATTATACATTTTTAGAATTTAAAGTTCAGCATGTATTTTAACAATATATTTCATATCTTTTATTTAATTATTATCTATTATTTATCTATATGTATTTGAATAAACAATCTCATTGTCATTGACTATAATTATTGCTTCCAAAAGAAACAGAATGGGCATCATCAGCACCAAAAATGAATATACATATATATTCTCAGTAATGTTATTTGTAATTCAAAAGCAATACAGCAGGTTGGTCTCAGATATTGTATTTCCATACAAGTAATGAATACATGAATCAAACAGGGGACATAATTCATAATTCA